ATTGTTCCACCCATTTTGAGGCCTAAACCAGGTGGCTGATTCAAGATCATAGAATCATTATTACCATTGAATGATATGTTGTTTTGACTTGGCTGACCAAACCCAAAACCTAAGCCACCAGTAGCGCCGTTGTTACCATAAAACCCATTGTTATTGCTGCCGTTGACCTGACCCATCTGCTGAGTACTGTTATCTTCTCTTACAACTCCAGCACGGAACAGAAACTCCTCAAGTGTCATTTCCCCTAAAGTCTGTTGCCTCCCAGGAGGCGCAGTCGACTCATCGCCTCCTCCGCTGCTACCTCCCATAATACCATTATTACTGTCCTTGGTGATCAAACATTTCCACACCTCATCAACAGTCTTCTGACTAATCGTTCTAGGCAATGTCAACGAGCCTTGCCTCTGGAGATTCCCACCGGAGATACCAGCACCGGGTTGTGCTACCGCTGTAGCAGCTGAAGAAGTCATGGTCATGGCCTGAGCTTCCTCAGCAGTCCATATGCTCTTCAGGAGTTCGTCCATGTTCATCGACCCGAAATCTTTTCCGGGTCCACCTAGTGTGCTCTGTAGCTCATCAAATGTTAGCGAATAGACCGAGGACTGCCTCGCCAAGGGCATGCCACTACCAGTTGGCTTCATCTGGTTACTCCCTTCCCCTCCAGGAGGACCACCACCACCTAAGTTGTTGAAATTGATGTGAGTTCCCATATTCCTTGTATTCACTCTTTCTTCTTCTTTTTCTTCAATGAGAACAAAGCATCAAAGCCCTAAATCCCTTCTTCTAGCTTGCTTTTGAGAGGTAAAAGACTAGACAATTCGAGCCAAAAGTAAAGCAATTTAGAGTCCATAAAACAGAGAAGATCCAATGATATTAAAATGGACTGAGCTATGTGTATGTTCACATCCATATAAGGGCAAGTAAAGAGAATCGAAGCAGAGACTAGACAAACCACATAAATGTGTGTGTACAAATGTAAAACCAAAGTAAAGTCAATCAATAATTATTGTCAGATCTTTAGATAACGTTTTCAATATTTTTAAAAAATTGCAATTTGATGACTTTTTGAGGAAAATGAATTCACACCAGATACACAGTGTTTTCTTATATCCAAATATGATCATATTAGGAAAATTCGAATAGATTACTTATCACAAATCGTCTTGTGAGTTAAGAAGACATTTCAAATCCCAAATTTATACACAAGCAGATCAAACTCCAATAAACTCAATTGCAATGAACATTTCATGAAATTCAACAATGAATCCGCAAAAACCCAACAAGCATGAGAAGGATCTATTCAAGATTCCAGACGAAAATCAACATAAATTTCCTCATAAAAAAAACCCAATCGAATCAAAAACCCAATAAGCATTAATAATCAGATCGATGCTCCGATTTCACTACCAAAAGTTACTAGTTCACTACTTCTCTAAGTGATTCTCAAAAACATAAGACACAAAAACGGAACACAGATAGAGAGAAAAGACAACAAAAATTCGACGAATTGGATGATCCGAAAAAGACGGATCCAGACATAAGAAAAGAACGGATAATTAAAAAAAGATGGTAAAATAAATAACTGACCTAATTAAAATTTTCTTGGAAAAAAAAAACAAAGAAAAGATTCGGAGACTGCGAAAACTCCAGAGAAAGCTTATACGGGGAGAGACGACAAGTGTGTTGCTGCCGCCTCGACACGATCAGCCATTTTAAGGGTGAATGC